TTACTTTAAACTGGCTTTCTATGTTGTGTGCAAAAATAAATAAATATATTTTGTGCATAGATGCATTGACTACAAAACACGTGTTTACTTGGCCACTCCTCATCGTGACTAGCGCACTCCAAACAGAGAGACCCGGGGGCATATGCCTCGCCGTGTGTTGAGTGGACCTCCTCGTCAGCACCGCTCGCTCTGTGCCGATTACACGGTGATTTGGCGCGATTGTTACTATGTGTGTTTATGTCCTGCGTGTGACATGGGAGAGGTGTGTGTGTGTGTGTGTGTGTGTGTGTGTGTGTGTGTGTGTGCGTGGATCCAGCCGGGCACACCAAGAGTGTTACATATGTCGGGCGGCGAGATGTCGCTACCCCGCGCCGCGACTACGGGCGCCCCTGGGGACGGCGCGGGGGTGGGGTGGGGCGGGGCGGGGTGGTGGTCGGGACGAGAGGACAGCCGGGCCGGCGCTATCCCCCGGGACCACAGGGTCCCGCTGCCGCTCCCTCCCTGTAGCCTCTCCCTGTAGCTGCGCCACCAGTAGCAGAGGCCTCTGCTCAATACAGCAATAACATTTCTATTTCCCCGGTGCTTGCCGTCCCTCCCCGGCCCGACCTGTCTGTATTCTCTCGTTCCGCGGAAATGTTGCAGCAGCAGTAGTAACGCGGAGGGTTAGAAGTGATGATCGTGGGAGTGGAGTGGCGGCGGGCCTCGGGGAGGATGACGACGATGACGTCCGCGACGAGGAAGCGGGGCGGGTCTCGGGGGACGCACGACGCGCCGCGGTGGTTTTCGCGAGAAAACGCGTTGCGCGACGGTGGTGGTAGTTTTGTTTCGCACGGTCTGTTGCGGCCGCGTAGGGGGTGCAAAAAATAAATAAAAAGAATAAAAGAACAGGATTAAGTCAGCGGGAGGGGAGGTCCAGAGAGAGAGACTTGGGCGGCGACATGTGGCAGGGCGTTGTTGTTGGGCCCCTCTGGCGGGCGCGGCGAGTCGGGTCCCGCGGGGGGCGCCAAAACCACACCGCGTTGTTAAAACCGCGAAACCAGTCGGCGCGGGGTGGGGGGGGGGGCATAGATATTGAAAGGCAATTAGAGACCGACGGGTCAGAGTATTAAATGTGGCGGGGCCGGGCAGGGCGGGGCGGGGCGGGGCGGTAGGGGCGTCAGAGTTGAACGTAATTAACTTGGACCATCATAGCGTTGGTGGGTTTGGGAAGGGAAGGGTGGGCGATACTGTGCTACAACTGTGTAGCTACAAACAGGGACGTATATAGAGCTCCCTCTCTCTCGCGCTCTCTGCACGGTGAAAGGGACGGGCAGCAGAGAGAGGGGTGAGATGAAAGTGTGTGTGTGTGTGTGTGAGCGAGGGGGTGGGAGAGGGGGGCTGAGTTGATGAGGAAATAAAACGGCGTGTGTAGTATATATTAGGTAAATTCTACGGAAATACCTGCTGTTACACACGGCTCCTGATTG